TAGTGCGCACCATAATCTTTTCATGCTAACTGACCATGCTCTCCTAGTTTAAAGAGAAAATTCTTAATGCTCCCTACAAGGCCCTCTGTGCTCTGACCTCTCCAGCCTCCTCCTACCTGCTGCCCCTGTCCCCTGTCTTTGCTTCAGCCACACCGACCTGCTTGCAGTTTTCCCACCATACTTAGTTTAAGACCAGTGTAAGACCACACATGCTGTTCCCTCCAGCCGAAATGCGCTTCCCTCTCTCTCTGCTTGGTTTACTGCGATTCATCCGACAGGTCTTAACGCAAACATCACTTCCTCAAGGAAGCCTTCCCTGATCACCCCTAGACTTCATAACCACCTGTGCTTTTCCACCATACTTAATCTCCGTTTGCCAGGATATCTTGGCACTTATGTTCTGCTTCATCTATTTGAGTGTAAACTCTACAAAAAGTACATTCCACTCATGCAGTAACTGCAGCCCAGAGCCTGATAAAGGCTCGAGAAATTTATTTAATGGAAGAACATTAAGATAAATAAGACCCTGCCCCCACCTTGGAAGAGCTCAGAACCTACTGGGGGAAAGACCCAAGCAAGCAGTGATGCTGTGATTTATAGATTGAAGACATAGTTTGAGGGCCTGGAGAAAGGAGAGTTGGAGGAAGAATGCACAGGTGGTAACAATTAAACTGGGTCCTAAAGAATGAATAGGATTTTTTCTTTTTTTGCAATTCTTTCTTTCTTTCTTTCTTTCTTTCTTTCTTTCTTTCTTTCTTTCTTTCTTTCTTTCTTTCTTCTTTCTTTCTTTCTTTCTTTCTTTCTTTCTTTCTTTCTTTCTTTCTTTCTTTCTTTCTTTCTGTGTTTTTGTGTTTCTTTCTTCCTTTCTTTCTTTCCTTCTCAAATTTTTTCTATTATTTAAGTTTAGTTGGTATATACAATCTTATATTAGTTTCAGGTGTACGCCATAATGATTCAATAATTAAATACCGTACAACGTGATCACCACACTAAGTCTAGCAATCATCTCTCACTGTGCAAACTTACCCCAGTATTACTGGAGAATAGTTTTGCCAGGTGAAGTCAGGGTGTAGGCAGAGGGCACTGCATGAGCACAGGCCTAGAGACCTGAGTGCATGCTGGAATGGCGTGTGTGTAGTCAGTTAGGGCTTAAGCTGCAGGTATGTGGTAGAGAAGAGACAGGTGGGAAGGCCGAGTATCAGAACGCATGGTTACAAATGACCGAAAGACAAGTCGACCTGGCTTAAGTGAGGGGAGAAGGGGGGAACTAAATGACAAGTCCGGGGGGAAGGTTTGGAGATTGCGGGCAAAGCTGGACGCAGCAGCTCACATTACGGCTTTAAGGCCACCTCACGCTCTCCATCTCTCACTGTGCTGACTGTTCCCAGGTGGGCTCTCTCCTCCTGGTGGCAAAGACAGCTTTCATGATCCCAGCTCAACAACCCCACTGGGAAGGGAGCTTCCATTTCCGGGTCTTGGGCCTGATGCTGGATGGACTGACCTGAGTCGTATGCCATTCTGAACCAGTCACCGTCACTCTTACTTTCTCATCCAGGATCCCGAGCTCACCCATTGGAGTTGGGGGAGAGTGCTGCACCTTCCCCCTGACTACACGAGCATAGCGGGGTAGTGATTTCCCAAAGGAAAATCTAGGCATTCTCCTTGAAGGAAGGGGCCTGGGGACCAGACAGGCAGAAGCAGCAGACATCCACTGTAGGCAGGACGAGGCAGGTCTCTGCACTCAGCTCAGAAACTGAGCTTGCTCTCATGGATGGTGGGAGCTGTATGTGTCTGTCCATACACACTGACCCATGAGTAAATGTCCAGCTTCCCAGAGCCATGATCTCGTTTCTCTTCCTTCAGGAGAACCTGCAGTTACATCTGAAGAGCACGCAAGGGCCCATTGAAGTCTACCTGTGCCAGGAGGAGGTGCAGGAACCAGACAGTCCTGCCAAGGAACACCTCCCCTCCACCTCCACCCTCAGCCCTAGCCCTGACTTCACTCAGCCCAGCAGCAGCACCAACCCTGGGATCCTGGAAGCCACAGCATCCCCAGGTAGGGCCCCCTGTCCAGAGGGACAGGAAGTGAGAAGAGCAACCAGCCTTAGTTTCCTGTTCCATGTCAACATTCGTTGCGTATTGACCTTCTACTCAGTGGCAAGGAGTACAGTCCTCCCCCACATGTGTGCACATTCCCTGTCTCACTGGCAAGCTAAGCTCTCTTTGCCTCAACTTCCTCATCTGTAAGTTGGGCATAGTAATTAATAATATCTATTTCATAGGTTGCCTTGAGAGTTAAATGAGTTAATATCTGTAAAGCACTTAGAACTGCACCTGGCAATAACTATTACCTATTATCATTATTTCTGTCACCACTGCTAGCTAGTACTGCTGCTTCTGTGACAACTACTAACAGTAAAGCTCCTGGCACTCGATAAGCCCACACTAAATGGGAACTATCGGCTTTTTTGAGGAAGGCTCAACACTTCCTTCAGAAATAATAACTAAAGTTTTTACAACCACGACTGTACCATCCATTTTCACATTACTCCTCACAGTAATTCTTGAGGTAGGTTTTATTAGTCCTGGTTTAGAGATTAATAAACTGAGGCAGAGAGGTGATATGACTTGCCCAAGGTCTCCCAGCTGGGAGACAACAGAGCCGTGTCTCCAACCTTGGTCTCCATATTCCTAGCCCAGTGCTGTCTCCACGAGGCACAGGACAAATCAGAGAAGTGGGTCCTGGCTCAGCCCTGGCTGGGAGGTGGATGGTACAGCTAAAAGCTGGCTGCACTTGGCAGGAAGTAGTATGAGGCAGTTGCCATGGAGTAAAGAGGTGAGAGAGGTCTGTGAGGGCTGCCCAGGGAGGGCGAGAATCTAGAAAGAGTAGAAATGGGGACCTGTGAAGACCCTTACAGCAGAATAGTTTCTGCCCTTTACTGGGATCGTGCATCAGGTCGGACTGGAGGGATCCTTCAAGGCCATGTGGGCCAGTGTTCCACTTTTTGTGTTCTTAGTGGCAAATTGCCTTAAGTAGAACCCTAGTTTTTAAATAAATGCTAAAACTGGTCTGATGGAAAAGGTGTGGTTGGGGAAGGTTCACAAAACACAGGTCAGATTTCACTTTTTTAACTCAAGGGTTGACAAACTATTGCCTGCCGGCCAAATGTGGCCTGTTTCTATATGGTTCTTGAGCTAAGAATGGTTTTCATATTTTTAAAGAGTTGTAGCGGGAAAAAAAAAGAAAAGAGACTGTGTGACAGAGACCATAAGTGTCCTGTAAAGCCTACAATACAAAAGTTTGCTGACCCCCAATCTAACTCAACCCTTTGTTTTACATTTGAATACAACTGAAGTCCAGAGAGGGCAAGTGACTTCCCTAAGGTCACACAGCAAGTTGGTAGTAGAGGTTGAGCAAGAACCCAGACTCCCAACTCTTATCTAAATGATCACTGCCGTGTCCTGGCCTGGTCTGGGGACCAGGGCTTCTCCCTGCGCCAGCCATCTGTCCCTCCGGGCACCTCCTCGTGCCTATCTCCCACTGCAGACCTGTGCCCCACCCGGTTCTCCCTCCTCGGGCTGCGTCTGCTTTCTCATTCTGTCAACATGTGCAGAGCTCTCCAAAGTTAGAACCACTTTCACTTCAGTTGTCCTCAGACCTTGGGCGGAGGTGGAGGACCCTAATGCGTAAGCAAGGACAAGGTTTTTTACCTCAGCTGTACAGGTTAAGAGCCTGAGGCTTGAAAGGACTGGAGGCTTACAGAAGAGTCAGTGGTGGCGCCAGCTGAGAAGCCAGCTCTGTGCCAGGGTTCGTGCCGTGGCCGCCCCTCTACCTCCTTGCCACATGGCCTCTGAGTGTTGTCCCTGCTGAAGGGTGCAGGAGGACACTTTGTGGAAGCTGTGCACATGTGCACATGCACACGCTCCATGTTCTGGCCTAAAGCAGGGTCATTTTGAGGTCTGAGCACCAGGGGCCAAGCCCGAAGAGGAGGCCACTACGGTCTTAGGGCCCAGGTTCTGCCCTAGCTCTGGTACCACCAGGGGAATCGCTAACCCTTTGGGGCCTCAGCTTCCTTTATCTGTAAGGAGGGGTTTGAACAAGATTTGTCTCTAACATCCCTCCAGTCTCTGACATCCTGAGGTAAACCCGGCTGATGGCACAGGAGTCGAAATTGAGAGACTTGGGTTTGAGTCTGTACCTTACCTCCTATGACTTGGTGACAGTGGGCAAGTCGCTTTAACCCTCCAAGCCTCTGTTCCCACACCTCTAAAATAGGGACAGTGAAAACTCTCACATGATTATTGAGTGGGTTACAGGAGATGATATGGCACAAAGGTGATTTTTTTAAAAAGCTCATGTGAACTGAGCACCTAGGATGTGCGGTTTTGGAGAAACAGAAGTGAATGTAAGCCATTCAGAGTGTGGTGGAGGCACAGATGTTAGAGCAGTTCTCTCCTGGGTATGAGAAATGCCAGGAGAGAGCAAGGTCCTGCCTGTAGCGGAGGCTCTCCCATGTGTTATCCCAGTTACTGCTTCCAGCCGCTCAAGGGGGTCCTTATTTTTCCTTGTGAGAAAACCGAGGCGCCAGATGAGGTGCCTACAGCTGGTGAGGTAGGGCTGGGTTCTGAGCCCATGTCCTTCTCACTCCCAAGCCAGGCCTCTTAACATAACACCTGCAGGCCTCTGCAACACACTAAACAGACATTCAGGTTTGGTTTTTTTTTTTTTTTTTTCATTCAAATACATTTAATTGACTTCTTTGAGCCTCAGTTTCCTCATCTGTAAATAGGGTTGACGACATTGCTGCTTGAGTGTCGGAGGAGGTTAAACATGCTTCTCCTTAAGAGCAGAGCCGGGCCCCGTAAGCCCTTGGTAAAGGGGAGCCAATCTTAGTATTGACAAGGGTAGCATGCAGACTCCATGCAGGGTTCCTGTCATTCCTTACCTGCACTTACCATTTAATCCTCTCAACAACCCCAGAGGTCGCTATAATCATCCCCATTTCAGAGGTGAAGAAATAGAGGCTCGTAAATATTAAGTCAGTTGCCCACGGTTACCCAGCCAGTGGGAGGCTGAGTAGGCAGTCTGACATACTGGCACAGTTGCATTTTCAAGGCAATGTTTGGTTGGGCTTTAAGCAATGACTCAAATGGTGAGATTCTAGGCATCAGGGTATATTTGGCAGGGGATTTCTGGTACCTTATTCCACATCCTTGTGTAGGAAATCACCTTCCTACTTATATATGGAAATGAACTTGGCGTGCTAAAGAACAGCCGATGGCCAGTGCAGCTAGAGAGGTTGAATGTGAGGTGTGGGAGGAAGGTGAATAGAAAGGTAGGCGGGGGCCAAATCATGCAGGGCCTTCTTGGCCCTGGTCGGAACTTGGGTTTTATTCTAAGCCCTTTTTCTGTCAGAGCACAGATGACAAGGGGCGAGAGTCGAAGCAAGGTGACTAGTCAGACTCCTGCAGTGGTCCAGGTGAGGGAGGAGGAGCTAGGACCAGAACCACAGCAGTGGAACTGAAGAGGAATGGGCAGCTTAAGAGAATTCATTTCGTTGTGAAGATGACTGAACTTGCTGCTGGATTGGATGCAGGGGAAATGATAGGTTTACAGGTCATTCTTGGGCCTTTTGGCCTAGGCAACTGAGTGGGTGGTAGTTCATTCATTCATTGTGGTCGGGGAAGACGGATGGGGGCGGGAAGAGGTTTAGGGGAAGCCCAGGAGTTCAGCTTTGATATGCTAAGTTCTGATGTAGCTTAGACACCCAAGTAGAGATGTTGCAGGAGCCCAGAGCTCGGGGACCAGGTCCATGCCAGAGGTGTCCACTTGGGAGAAGTTTGTCTAGAGAGGGATTTAAAGCCATGGGGTGAGCTGAGACCATCTATGCAGCCAAAGGAGAGAGGAATCTGAGGGTGGAGCCCGGGGCCTTCAGGATTAGAAGTTGGGAAGAGGAGGAAGATCCAGCAAAAGAGACCAAAGAGAAGCAGCCAAAGTGGTAAGAAGAAATCCCGAGGAACCTTCTGTGTGTACCCAAAACCAAGTGAGGATGTTTAAAGACGAAAGGTGTGAACAGCTGCGTCAGATTCTTCTGGAAAATCAAATAAGATGAAACTGGAGAACTGAGCATGGGACTTAGCCACATGGAGGGCATTGGTTCATTGGCATGGCGGGGACAGACTTCGGGGCGGAGTGGGTCGAAGAGTGAGGAGTGGTGTGGAGGTAGAGAGCACAGACAACTCTTGAGAAATTTTACTGTGAAGGGCAGCTGGAAAATGGGCTGGTAATTGGAGAGTCATGAGGTCAAGGGAGGCTGTCTTTTGAAAGATAGGTGTTAGGAGAGTACGTCTGTGTGTGGATGAGAATGATCTAGTAGAGTGAGAGAAATCAGTGATGCAAGAAAAAGGAAATTATTTCAGGGACAAAGGCCTTGATGGTGAAAGGCGGTAGGGTTGAGTGTAGAAGCAGAGAGTGGGTTTTGAGAGCAGGAGAGCCCACCTACTGTGAAAGGTGTTAAATATCAGTTTTAAGCTCCTGGGCGGTCATGAGAATGAGGGTGGTTGCTAGAGCTGGTGCCGGGAAAGAGAGGGTGTCCCTGTGCCATTAGGTGTGGGAGGTCGGGGTGGGAGGGAGAAGAGAAGGTGCACAGTTGTCCAGAGACCCACAAGGCTGTTCTAATGCTCTGAGGTCTGACCAGAGGCTTTTGGGTCCAGGGCCAGGCTTAACCCTTGTCTATTTGTCTTCAGCACCAGCGCTGACTTCCCACCAGATCCTGTCGCCGCCACCATCCCTTGTTCCTCTAGAGGCCACTGACAGCATGCTGGAGCTGCCATACCCACTTCTGCAGCAGACCGAGGACCAGTTCCTGTCCCCAACACTGCCAAGCAGCTCCCCTCTGATCAGCTTCTCTCCACCCTTGGATCAAGATGACTACCTGTGGGGCCTGGAAGGGGGCGAGGGCATCAGTGACCTCTTTGACTCCTATGACCTCGGGGATCTGCTGATTAATTGAGTAACCTTGCCTGCCCCCAGCAGTGCCACCCCTGTTTCTACCTCCTCACAGACAGGCCCTCTGCCTGCACAGGGACTTTGGACACGAGATGCTGCCATCAGGGTACAGGGGTCTCCTTTCCTACCCCGTCGCAAGCCGAACCTACCTGGGGGGTTTGTGGAGGGTGCAGGTGAAGAGCATATCAGGGGTTGGGTCCCGTCCTTCCTAGTGGAAGCCGAGCCTGGAAAGACCCATTCTGTCTTCTGACCTCTGACCTCGCATGTGAAGGGCCACAGGTGAGGCGACCAGATTCAGGGAAAGGCCCTACCACTGCCTTTTTGAGGGGTAATGAGGACCCTCAATTTATCGAGAAGCACTTAATACCTTTGTATTTATTTCAGGTTGAGTTCTGTTGGTGTGTCTTCCCTGAGTTTTAGCAGGGAGATTGTTCTAGTTTCTAGTAAGACTTGTCCTCAGACAGGCCCAGCACTGTTTGCTGTCCAAGGGCAGCCCTAGGCTTCCAGGGACCGAGGCCGAGTCCCTGATCCCTGCAGCAGTGGGGTCTGGGTCTCTGAGGACCCGTCCAGTCTTCTGGAATGCTTATTGCACTTAGGCCTCCTAATTCTAGTAAGCTGTAGCTGAGGCTCCAGCCTTGGATTTTTGGTCTCCTCTGTCCCGGAGATGGTTCAAGGGGGCCATCCAAGCACAGGTGGTACTGAGGCTCCTGAGGAAACAGGAGCGGCTTTTAAGGAGACCCCCTCCCTGTAGAATTCCTTATCTCCATCCCTTAGAATATATGAAAAAAAAAAAAAGTCCTCCAGGGAGTTGGCAGAGAAGAGCTCCTGGGGAAACTCGGATAGGAATGTGGGAGCAGCTGTGATGGCTACCACAGGCACCTTTCCTCCGTTTTTGCCTCTCGCTGGGACAGGAGCGGTTCTACACTGGGGACCTGGGAGGCAGAGGCAGCTGCACCGTAGAACAGGGTGAGATTAAGACAAGAAACTGCCTGAACTCACCCCTCTGACAGCTGCTGGTATTCGCTACATCTGGAAGGCTTTTTTGTCCCCCTTGTAGAAAGGGGTGATTCTTTAAGGACTTCCCCTTCGCCTCAGCTCTCACCCAGACCCCCAGGGACAGAGGTGACCCAGATTTGATGGCCTGTTGGTTCCTTTTGTCATAGGAATGCTAAAGGGGTGACAGGGTCTTCATTATAGAATAGACTTTGGCAGCTAATAGTGAGATGGGCTCATGTTACCTCTTTAGGCCTGGGGTCCCGAGATTGTCTTTTGGCCTCATCCCTTCCAGAGGCTTGACCACCCCACATTGTCCCTTTAACCCAGCTGGGTGTGCGTGTTGGGGGGAGGGAGTCAGCTCTATTCCCCAGCACATCCTTGGGTGAGGGTGCTCTGGGCTTCATGAACCAAGGCTGTGCCTTCTGGAGAGAGGCAGCCATGGGCGGGGGTCCAAGAGGCCCGCCACCCACCCTCAGGGAGCTAGGTTTCCTCAGGGGCTCAACTGGGCAGCACTTTTTTTTTTTTTAAGTTGGTAGCATTAAGTTCATTTAAAACATGAATTTGGCCTTTTGGGATTGCTCTTGAGTTGTTCTGTTGGGATCTGAAGTTTGGGAGGTGGGCTTCTTTGGGGATGGAGTCTGATGTGAGCTAATGTCTAGCTAGAGTCTGTCGTGCCTTGTCATTTGCTCTCTCAGGATGGTCAGCGGGTCACAGGTCCCCAGCTCTACAAACAGGGCTCATTTTGTATGATTCACAGAAATGCCTTTGGCTTACCCTCTGCAGCTCCACGTGGTTTGGAAGCCCAGCGGGCCCTAGGGCGGGAGAAGGGGTGCTGCCTGGACCCTGGTTTGGGGCCTGTGGGGCTGGAGATGGTGTTGCTGTTCCGAGGTCTCTGCTAGGCTGCCGTGGGGCCACTCACCTGTCTCTGAGGACAGAGATGTTTGACTTCTATGCTTCAGGCTCTGTCTAGAGTCTTCTCCTAGAATTAAATCAGAGAAAAGAAAGAAGGGGCTTGCAGGACCCACTGGGAATGAATTTATTGGTAAAGTCTGGCCAGAATTCAAGCTCATTCTCCAAATACCCAGCCGTGGGGTTGGACAGAGGGTCGCCCCTTGGGCCCACGACCTGTATCCTGAGTAGCTGCCCTTGCCCGCTTCTGTGCTGTCCACGCCACACCCTACCCGGCCCGGGGGCTGAACCAACCCAAGCCAAGCCTCAGGCTCTGGGTGGGATACACATTTGAGACTCTTTCTTGCCAGTGACACTTGAAACCTCCCAAGTTCCATCAGATGCCTTAAGAAGGTCTTTTGAGGAGTATTTCTTTTAGAGGCCAGATAAACTTTAAAACTAGGGCAGAAGAAAAGCCAGTTTCTGAGGCACATTCTGCCAGCAAATTCCCCAGCCCCACCAGCAGCCCGCAGGTCATCCGTGTCCCCAGAGGCATCAAAGGTGATGGGGTGGGGGGTGCTCCAGGGAACCCAGTAGCGTAAAATTGTTGAGTAGTGTTGCAGATTTTAAGAGATTTCTTAAAGCCAGGGACATGCTCCTGTGTCCCTCCTGTTGAAAGTGTTAGCTAGACTGGAGTGAGTTCCCTTCTCCACTGCAGGGCTAATCTGACTAGCATGGCTGCAGGGAAGAAGGGGGCGACGGTGAAGCTTGTAAAGCTGGCTCTAGGTTGGTTTTGGCTTTCTTTTCTCTCCCCAAGTGTTTTCAGCATCAGTTCTGCACAGCGTTTAGAGTTTTTAGTGAAAGAGTTTGGATATCCTTGTGTCCGAGTTGTGTGGCTTACAGCATTTGAAGTGAAGGCCTTTGGGGGTTGTTTGCAAGCAGCTTTCTGGTTCTCATCACTGTGTCCCAAGGTCCCCACGTCATCCTGGGACACTGTTCTCTCATGAGGACCCTCACTGACCAGAAGCCCAGCCAGCCTGCTGGCTCCTTAGTAAAGAAGCCTTGTATTTGGCACATGTGTCTCTCGGGTAAGGGAGCCCAAGGGAACCTAGACTCTACAGGTCACTTACCTCCTGCCTGGTTTCTCCTGGGTCCTACCTTGATGAGTACCACATAAACCTCCTTGTGTTGTGATAATTGGGCATTAAACAACAACTCTGGGTACCTTGTCTCTGTTGTGCTTTCCGAAGGTCATTACCAGGGAGAAGGATCTGGTCCTCCCAGGACAGGTGTGGGGACAGCTGACCAACTGGCTGATTTCTCTCCAGAAACACCCTCTTTCTCCCACACTGGCCTATCACCATGCCTTACATTCTGAAAACTACAAAGCATTGTTGAAAGAAATGACAGAATACCGAAATAAATGAAAACACACCTCGTGTCCATGGATTGAAAGACTTAATAGATTTAAGATAGCCGTGTTCTCCAAACTGATGTACAGATTCAATGCAGTCTCCATCAGAATTCTAGCTGGCTCCTTTGCAGAAATTGACAAGCTGATTCTAAAATTCATGTGAAAATCCAAGAGACCCAGAAGAGCTGAAACAATCTCAAAAAAGAAAAATCAAAATTTGAGGACTCGCACTTTCAGTTTCAATACTTATTACCAAACTAGTCAAGACAAGCGTGAGGATAGACAGATCAATGGAATAGAGTGTCTAGAAATGAGCCCTCATATTTACAGTCAATTGATTTTTTATAAGGTTGCTAAGACAATTCAAAGAAAGTTTTCAGCAAATAGTTCTGGGACAATTGGATATCCATATACAAAAGAATGAAGTTGGACCCCTAACACAATACCATATACAAAGTGAATCAAAGATCTAAATATAACCATTAAAACCACAAAACTCTTAGAAGAAAGCATAGGCATAAATCTTTATTACCTTGGATTAGGCAATGGTTTGTTAGATATAACACCAGAAGCATAAGCAACAAAACAAACATAAATTGGACTTCATCAAAATTAAATTTTTTTTTGTTACAAAGGATGACATCAAGAAAGTGAAAAGATAATCTACAGAATGGGGAAGAAATATTTAAATCATCTAGCTAGGGACTTGTAGCCGGAATATAAAATAAACTCTTACAACTCAGTAGTAAAAATATAGCAATTAAAAAATGGACAAAAGATATGAACAGACATTTCTCCAAAGAAGATATACAAGTGGCCAATAAGCTCATAAAAAGGTTCTCAACATCATTGGCCACCCATCAGGGAAATGCAGGTCAAAACTACAAGATACCACCTCCTACCTTCTACGATGGCAATAAAAAGACATAATGCCAAGTGCTGGCTAGGATGCGGAGAAATTAGAATGCTTATACGCTGCTAATGGGAATGTGAAATAGTATAGCCTTTGGAGAAAAGTTTGGCAGTTCCTTAGGTTAAACCTAGAACCATCATGCAACTCAAGTAGATCCACCCTTAGGTATATACCCAAGAGAAATGAAAATATATGTCCATGTAAAAACTTGTACACAAATGTTCACAGCAGCATTATTCACAATAGCCCAAGAGTGAAACTACCCAAATGTCTATCAATTGTTGAATGGATGAATAAAATATAGTATATCCATACAATGGAATATTTAGCAATAAAAAGACAAATTACTGATACATGCTATAACATGGACGAGCCTTGAAAACGTATTATGTGAAAGAAGCCAGGCACAAATGGCCACATATTTCATTTATATGAAACATCTAAAATAGGCAAATCCATAGAGACCAAAAATAGATTAGTAGTTGTTTAAGGCTTTGGAGGAGTGCCTGCTAACAGGAACAGGCTTTTATTGGGAAGGGGTGATGAAAATATTCTAAAATCAATGTGCTGGTCATTCAACTCTATGAACATCCTAAAAACCACTGAATTATATACTTTAAGTAGCTGAATTATATGGTATATGGATTATATCTCAATAAAGCTATTACTCTACAAAGGGGATCTTGTTGGGACCACGGAAATGTTCTAAGACTGGTAATGGTTGTAGTCACCTGATAAAATTTTTAGAAATCATTACACTGTACATCTAAAAGGATGAGTTTTATATAATGTAAGATACACGTCAATAAATTTGTTTTTTAAAAAAGTTCCCAGGTAATGCAGCCAATGAGATGCAGAGCTAAAAGTGTATGTGAAAAGGACAATTTTTAAAGAAAATAATAAATTTACTCAAAAAGAAGGAGAAATCATTAACTCGAACTGGCATTCAAGAGTTACTCCAAATGATGCCAGAGCCAGATGGATTCAAAGGCAAGTTTTATTTAAACTAAATTTTTGACAGTTTCTTCAATAAATGGTGGTATTGGGAAAGTTGGACAGATATATGCAAAAAAATGAAACTGGACCACCTCCTTACACCATATACAAGAATAGACTCAAAATGGATTAAAGACTTAAAACATAAGATCTGAAACCATAAAATTTCCAGAAGAAAACATAGGCAGTAATCTCTCTGATATTGTTACTAGTAATTTCTTTTTGGATATATCCCCTTGGGCAAAGGAAACAAGAAAAAATAAATGGGACTACATTAAACTAAAAAGTTTTACACAGCAAAAGAAACCATCAACAAAGCAAAAAGACAACATACTGAATGGGAGAAGATATTCACTTATGATACATCTGATAAGCAGTTAATATCCAAAATATATGAAGAACTCATATACTCAGCAACAAGAAAACAAACAATCCAGTTAAAAAATGGGCAGAAGACCCGAATAGATATTTTTCCAAAAGAGGAAATACAGATGGCCAATAGACATATGAAAAGATGTTCAAAGTCATTAATCATTAGCAATGCAAATTAAAACCACAATGAGATATCACCTCACACTTGTCAGAATGGTTGTCATCAGTAAATCAAAGAACAAGAAGTGTTGGCGAAGATGTGGAGAAAAGGGAACCCTCACACACTGTTGGTGGGATTGCAAATTGGTACAGCTGCTATGGAAAACAGTCTGGAAGTTTCTCAAAAAATTACAAATGGATCTACCTTTTGACCCAGCAATTGCACTTCTGAGTACTTATCCAAAGAGAAACAAAACAATAATTCGTAAAGATCTATGCATCCCTATGTTCATGGCAGCACTATTTACAATAGCCAAGATATAGAAGCAACTTAAATGCCTATCAACATATGACTAGATAAAGAAGTTATTGTGATTCATATATACAATGGAATATTACTTAGCCATAAAAAAAAATGAAATCCTACCATTTGCAATGACATGAATAGACCTAGAAGTTATTACTCTGAGCAAAATAAATCAAAGATAAATACCATATGATTTCACTTATATGCAGAATCTGAGGAACAAAAAGAACAAACTAATCGAAAACAGACTCACAAATATATTTTGAGGATAATCGTGATAGCCAGAGGGGAGGGGCGTGAGGGGGGCTGGGAGAAAGTGGTAAAGGGTTAAAGAAGTACAAATTAGTAGTTGGTAGATGGTCACAGGGATGGGGAGCATGGCATAGGGAATGTAGTCAGCAGTAAGGTAATGCCTATGTGTAGAGCCAGAGGGAAGATAGAGTAATCAGGGAGATCTTTTCTTAAACTATATAAATGTCTAACCAATGTACTATATACATACATATATATACATATATATATGTATGTATATATATACATATGTATATATATACATATATACATATACATATACACACACACATATATATATATATCTCCAGGACTTGGCTCCCCACAAAGGCTTTGGAGGGGCCCTGGAGAGCAAACTAAAAAACAAAACAAAACAAAAACTAAATCTTGAACTTAAATATTTTTCAGAGAATGAAAAACAAAGGAAAGTCACTTAACTTATTTTATGAGTTTAGAATAACCAAGATTCCCAAACCAGACAAGGACAATACAGAAAACAAAATTACAGAGTAATTCTCTTAAATGCAGAGACACAAATCCTAAACAAAAATTAGCCAATTAAATGTACCCTTGCGAAATAAAAAAATGACAACCAAGTTGGATTGATCTCAAGAATACATGCACGATATCTGGACATTTCCTGCAAAACGCCAAGCTTTGCTCGTGTGCAGAATGAGAGATAGGAAAGCTACTTTTTGGAAGGTTGCCCAGGAGTCTGTTCCTCATTTGTTAATTCAGCAAATATTCGAGTGCCGATTAAGTGCTGGTGCTGTTATGACACCAGTGCATAACACAGATTCTTGCCCTCAAAAATGGAAAGAAAGCAACCTATGAAATCCCACATTAACAAATTAAAGGAAAAACCCATGTGACCATCTCCATAGATACAGGAAAAACGCTTGAAAAATTCAAAACCCATTTACGATTTGTAGGACCTGACGGAAAAATGAGAATGCACAGGAATGATTATACTACAGCAAATACCATACTTAATAGTAAAACCTTAGAAACAAAATAAGGACACCTACTATCACTCCTACAGATCAACATCATCCTGGTGATCTGAGACAAAGCAATAAAGCAAGGTGGAGAAAAAGACCAGATCTGACTGCCCTAAACCCATGCAATTAACTACTATGCTCTCCTGGTCATAAATAAATGGGTCATTTATTTATCAGACATTTGTTGAGCATCTACCCTTTGCCAGGGTGGGCTCATAACTACTGCTCCTTCCTTGTCAAGGCTATCAACGTGCTTTAAGAGTTGGCTTCCTCTTCCCATGGATGGACAAGGCCTGGCAGGTGTGTGTCTGCAGCACAACTCTTGAGGTACCTGAAGTTCTAGATTACATCAGGGATAGAAGACCAGACATCTTTGGGGTTTTTAAATTAGTGTTCCTCTCAGGGT